ATTCTCAGTTCAGGACGGAGACTTAAACCAGTAATAACCTATACCTGGAGTAAATAAACCAATAGTAAACTATTACAGGAGTAGATATACCAGTTCTCTAACCTATAACTTGAGTAATAATATAAGAGGTATTAAGTACCTGGAGTAAACATTCCAGTAATATTAAGTACTTGGAGTAAATATACCAGTAGTAACCTACACCTGTATTTACATACCAGTAGTATTAAGTACTTGGAGTAAACATACCAGTAGTATTAAGTACCTGGAGTAAACATACCAGTAGTATTAAGTACTTGGAGTAAATATACCAGTAGTAACCTACACCTTGAGTAAAAATACCAATAGTAACCTATACCTAGAGTAAATATACTATAGTAACCTATACCCGGAATTAGTATACCAGTTGTAACCAATACCTAGCGTAATTATATATAAAGTAACTTTGAGTAGCTATACCAGCATTATCTTAACCTAGAAGTATATCTTTTAATTGAAGTACATTGGAGTAGACACAGTTATGTAATATCGTTGGTACTTCTGCTGTTTTATTTATCTTTTAATTGAAGTACATTGGAGTAGACAAGGTTATTGTAATATCGTTGGTACTTCTGCTGTTTTATTTATCTTTTAATTGAAATACATTGGAGTAGACACAGTTATTGTAATATCGTTGGTACTTCTGCTGTTTTATTTATCTTTTAATTGAAATACATTGGAGTAGACAAAGTTATTGTAATATCGTTGGTACTTCTGCTGTTTTATTTATCTGTTTACCCACTGATTATTGATTAAAACATAAAACATTGTATTTATAAATAAAAGGTTGTTAGAGGATTATTGTGTTTTCACTGATAAATCTATTTATCCATATATTTAGTTTGTTAGTAGGATTTTTATTCTTTAATCCTATCCAGGGTACTTGAAACCCAGGATACGCTGGGGGGGGGGGGNAAATCCCATATTTAAAGTCCAAATATAACAAATGATACATCATTGTAAAGCTCTTATGCTCTATACTTTTCTAATCTTCAAAAAAAAGTAAATTTGAAAATATTGAATTTTTTTTTGCAAAATCCAGTCATGTAGTAAAAAAGTTTGCAAAAAATGATAAGATATACATTTTTGAAAAGATCTTGACCATGCCGTTTTAAAAATGCAAACAAAATCTAAAAATTTTAAAAAATCTTGAGGGTAATTTAAAAAAAACTAAAAATTTGCAAATTTCTTTTGACGGGTTGTATGCAAACAAATTTCAAAAATTTCTTTGCAGAATTTTTGCAATCCGTTTCCTTATGTCAAAGCGTCATAGGCTTTCCAAAAAGCTAAAATTATCCAAATCTGACAACTGAAAGTGGGTCAACACAAAGATTTAGTTTGTTTCAGGAAATAGCATTCATTTAAGCAGTGTGCCTGAGGACTCAGGCAGATAGTATAAAAGCCTTGTTTTAGATGTAAAGGAAGGGCTATGGGTATTTAGGAAAAGTAAGAAAATTACCTCGGCATACCCTGCAATAATAATAAGAATAAACTGTATCTATTCAAATAAATCTATTATTTCGTGTTTTTGAAAAATTTCATTTTACAAAAAATGTTCGGTTCTTAAATGTCACTCGTTTAGCTTTTAACAAGTAATTTTCCATTTGAATCGATTAATGATGAACTTTATTTTAAGGCACCGTTGGTAATCAGACATTATATTGGTTAGAATAAATAATTTAGAAAACAGTTTCTTTTCTAACACTATGCTCAGGGGCGGATACAGGATTTAAGTGAGGGGGGGCGAAAATTTTTTTTGACTTAAAAGACTTAAAAAGAGTCAAAATTAATGACTAAAGACTAAAAAACATTTTTAACATTTTAACATTTTTAACATTTCACACATTATAGTTTATTAAGACAGATATTTTTCCTGTTTTGCACTAGGGTTTCTTTCCCTTAAGCATGCTATTAAGAAGCTACAGGGGGGGGCGAATGTCCCCACGCCCCCCCCTGTATCCGCCCCTGGCTATGCTCTTACTCTTAAAAAAGAATAAAGGCAAACAACTAACTAAAATGGAACCAACTTATAATGCACGCAGTTTGCAGAGGAACTGATTACTTGCAACTAAATCTATTTTGTCTCCAAATTTTTACAACCTAATATCGTATAAGATATTCCAGCAGAAGCAGACTAAGTTTCAAATAGAAAAGATTTAAATCATCTGAGAGCAAAGATATAAGGATTATAAAATCATAGTTTGTAGTGAGTAATCAATATTGCCTTTGTAAAAATCCATTTTTAGGCAGTGCTTAGTAAGGAATCAGGCAGCTGGTAAATATTTATATCACCCAATGTTATGATCTTAAAGGGAGTGTTCTCGAAAATGAAACAGAGTATAGGCTTACGTCAAAAAATATTCGATAGTGATTGCTACTAATATTTCTTCTATCTGTTGCGTCTATGAGGAGATAATTGTTAAAAACGAGTCATACCGAAGAACGTAACGTTCATACAAATCCAGAAAGTTCGACTCGGATCGGAAACAAATCAACTAAATTCCCAACAAATACAAATATTACAGCCCACAATCTTTCATTTTTTTCGGAGCATTCGCATATTGTTGATATTTCATAATATAAAAAAATCCTGGAAAGAGGAATAATTGGTTCTTGAAAGTAACTCTCAGATCATAAAAAATAAAAAAAAAATCATGAAATATTAACTTTTTACGATCATGCGTCGAAAAATATGGATTTTAAAATCTGAATGATTTGGTTGAAAGTAAATTGTTATTTTTTACGATCCGAGTCGAATGTTTCAACTATCTGATTTTGTATGGAACCTACGTTCTTCGGTATGAGTCGTTTTAAACAATTTTCTCCTTTTAGACGCAACAGATAGAAGTAACATCGATAATTTTTCGACGAAAGCTTATCGCGAACCCTCCCTTTAAAGAAAAAGTTCACGATCATTTTTAGAAAACTATCTACGGTGTTTTTAATATTTCCAAAACATTAACATAAAAGCCTTAAAAAAAGAATTGTTCAAACCCTATCTGCATACTTTTATTGTTACCATATATTTACCTATAAACGTTGGTATTTCCTATAATATCAGTTGCATGTGCACGTCTGCCAGCTGTCACAGTTTCTAGTATAAAGTTTTTAATTGACCCAGAAATCTACATTTTCGTCATTTTTTCACCTAGATAAATATATAGATTTACAGATAAATGTACGATTAAATTTGAGTTTTCAAGGTTAAGCAATTTGAAACCACGTGAATATTAATAATTATTGTTTAGTATTAAGGGTTAAAAAAGATTAATTGAACATATTCCTTAAAATTCTGATATAAAACAATTAAAGCATATGGAAGTCGCATTTGCAAATTAACCCAAATCAATTTGTAAAACTTCAGAATCCATAAATTGTTATTTTTTTAAATCTTTTTTTATTCAAAACCCAAATTTAATACTTTTTTATTAGGACTTTATAAACTTCCATATCTCTAATTTCTCTGAAATATAAAGGGTTGAAATCGAAAACTGTTACTGAAAAAAAAACTTTTAAGAAAGGAACTGAGCTCTTAACATATATTATGATTTTCTAATCTCTTTTTCTTTGCAAAATAATCATTTGATGTTGTAAACCTAAGATATTTACAATAATGAATTTTAAATTTTAAATCTTTCACTGTCAAGGTTGCAAAGGTACAAGATTAGAAAATGTGAGTTTGTTGCAAAAATTAAGTTTCATTGAGTAGGTTAAAGTTTTAAAAAAGATAGTATTAGTTTCACACGCACGTTGGAACACGTACCAGGAGGCTAAGAAAAGACCTTGAAACAATGACCTTCGTTGTGTGTTTTTTTGTCGAGCTTTAAATTTTCAAGGTTTCCCATAATATGCTTAATCTTAGAATTTACTCAGGATTTAATTCCGGATAAAAATATTTTTGACACTTTAGTAAAATGAGACGATTAATAGTTATGTGTCTGGGCTGGGCACGTATAACTGTTTTTTTCTTATTTCAAAAACGTCATTTTATTTTAGATTTTAATCTTGTATGATTTCTGACATTTTTCTCAGAAAAAAATTGAAAGTCTTATTTACTTCAGACCAGGTTTGGTTTTACAGGTCGTTTTGGGTGAAAGAGAAAATTAAGAGGTGTTACGAGGGTGCTAATAGCTAGTAGTTCAGTAGTAATTAATGAGTAATAGGTTTTCATAAACATGTTTACTGTTATGGAATATTGGTAAAAAAAATATTTTTGAAAATTCACTTGCACATTTTATAAAATAGCGAATATTTGGACATCATGAACCGAATGATTTAGACTATACTTGACTATACCCCCCCTCCCTTACCTCCAAGCCCCCAAATATATATATTTTTTTTGGAATGATTGTTTGGTTTTTTTAACAGCTCTAACTTCTGGTCGTAGCTTCTTAGATTTTGGTCATGAATCGTATTTAATGTTATGAATTCTAGGTTTAAGTGCAAAAAAAGAATATTTAGAAAAATTCCTTAAACAGGAGAGCTAAGAATAAAAAATTTGTTTTTTTTTAGTAGGAATACCTTAAACCTCCCTTCTCTTGATATTTCAAGCTTTGAATTTTTTTTATATAAAAATGTTAAAACTGTATCCATTTTTGGAGGTAAAACGTCCTAGGTCATGTGAGTAATTGCAACAATTTTGAGCTGATCAGTTTTGTCTCAGCAATCCAAAAAACAAACAATCCAAAGGAATTGAGTTTTTGCGACAAACTCAATGTTCTAATCCATTTATTTGCAACCTCATGGTTTAATCTTTAAAACTTAGACTCTTTGATCTAACATAATTCAAAGTTTGAAATATCTTTTAGGTCTAAGCCACTGGGTTGCTATGATAAAGAGATAAGAAAATCAGAGTTTGTGGCGAAGACTCAAATCCTGTATTTAAATTTAGATACATAAATGCTATAACACAATTGAATAATCGACGACTGTCCATTAAAGAGCTATTCTACTGTCTGTTTCAGGTTTAAAGGGAATGGGAGGAGTGTTGAGCTACCACCGAAGACGAAGCCACATAGAACTGGCAGATTTTGACTTTAGAACCAAAGACCATGAAATCGTTGAGGTTGTCAGAAACAAAGATGGGATCGAAGCTGTAGAGCATTGCGATGATGGTCTGGTGAGTGAGCTTGTGATCTGTGAACTAGGAGTAGATATTACTGATTCAATATCAGGATATGTGAGTGTGGATCTTACAGGTAGGGTTTTTTATTTCTTTCTTCAATCGTTTTCAAAAACGATCGTGTCGTCTTCAGAAAAAAACTGATTTTTTAAAAACGACCCACTTGTTTTGAACTTTTAGAAAAGGAATAACGATCGTTTTTGAAAAATAAAAAAAGAAATGCAACTTTCTTGAATGTCGTCTTACATGAAGTTAAACAGTTGTTGGTGAGCTAAAACTTCCTAATAAAGCTACTCAATGAGAAGATGCCCTTCAGGCAGGTTTCCTCTCTTTGTTAACATTGTTAACGAATGGTCGTCGTTAACGATCGTTAACGAAACAACGATTTTACAAAAACGATCGTTTTGAAAAAATTAACTTTTTTAAAAACCATCGTTTCGTTTCGATTTTTTGTTGTCGTTTTCATAACGAAAAAATTGTTTTTTTTTCAAAAAAATGAAAACCTTAACATCTCTACTTACAGGGTTCACCAAAGATCTGAGGTTTACGCAGAGTTACCCAACAAACCTCAGCTATACCTATGGAGTCCATAAGTGTGGGTCCAGGTTTGGAAACCAAATTAAGCCAGGCAAGAAACAAAACCAGTCAACCCGTACCAATAGAAAAATGAATCTTATCCACCAAGGAAGCCAAACAGTGATAAATCAATCAGAGCTGGATTTCAAACTAATGTTAAGTCATTCTGATACTCAAGTTCCTCACTTAAACTATGTTAACTTGGTCAAAAACATCAACCCCGAAACCCTATTCTCAGTACATCAATTAAATGTTAACCCAAAATATTGCAATAACTCAGAGCACCATGATAACCTGAATAATCATGATAACTTAAAAAATCATGATAACTTGAAAAATCATGATAACCTGAAGAATCATGATAACCTGAAGAATCATGACAACCAGAAGAATCATGAAAACCAGAAGAATCCTGATAACCTGAAGAATCATGATAACCTGAAGAATCATGATAACCTGAAGAATCATGATAACCTCAAGAATCATGATGATCTAAAGAGTCATGTTAGCTTTAAAAATCATGATAACCTGATGAAGAATCATGATAACCTGAAGAATCATGATAACCTGAAGAATCATGATAACCTTAAGAATGATGATAGCCTGAAGAACCATGATAGCCAGAAGAATCATGATAATCTGAAGAATCAAGAAAACCTGAAGAATCATGATAACAAGAAGAATCATGATAACCTGAATAATAATGATAACCTGAAGAATCATGATAACCTAAATAATCGTGATAACCTGAAGAATCATAAAAACCAAAAACATCATGATAACCCGAAGAATCATGATTATCTAAAAAATCATATGAATCTGATGAATTATGACCACCTGATGAATCATGATAACCTGAAGAACCGTGATTACTTAATGAATCAAGAGAACCTGAGGAAATATCATGATAACCTGAATAATTATGATAATCTGCAGAATCATGGTAACATTAAGAATCTTGATTATCTAAATAATAATGATAACACAAAGTATCATGCAAATCATGAGAATTATGGTAACAAAAAAAGCCAAGTTGTCATTGAGAATACTGCTGATTTCGAGGAGCACATAAGCCAGGAATCCCACTGTAAGTTGATTGACTCTATTTTCCTGGATCAAAAAAGAAACAATCTATGGGATCCATCCAACTTGTTGTCCAACTTGGAAAAGTTCACCTCAATTCATGCGCACCATTGCAACTATTCAAATCAGCAAAACAACCTAAACTGGGATATCCAAGAAAAAGATGAGATGAATTTCAGCTCAGATGATACTGAATATGGTATTGACAGTGTGAACATAGATATTGGTATGAATGATGAGAAGGGTAAACTGGAACCTGGAGGTTATGAGAATAGTGATCAGGGAGTTCAGATGAAATACATGACACAGGAAAACATGGCGAACCAGTGGTTACCAAGAACACCTCAACCATGTAAGGTATGATCAGAGATTCCCAAAAGAAGTCATTTTTAAAATTTCTTTTAAGAATTAACCCTATTCCTGCTGGGGGGGGGGGTCAATTTGCCCCCCCCTGTAGTTTTTTTACATAACTCAAAAAGTATTAGTCTGAGTCTGTTGAAATTTTCTGACTTTTCCTACATACCTAAAATCCTCCTTTTAGGCCTAAAACCGGGCTTTAATACTAACTGCCTGAGTCTTCAGGCACACTGCCTGAATGACTGCTTTTTCCTGTAACAAACTAAATCTTTATTTTGACCCATTTCCACTTGTCAGATTTTGATAAAATTTAGCTTTTTGAAAAGCCTTTGACATAAGGAAACGAATTGCACAAGTTTTGCGAAAAAAAATTGCAATTTTGTTGCAAACAACCTGTCAAAGTAAATTTGCACATTTTTAGTTTTTCTTGATTAAAAATCAGGTTATTTAAAATTTTGCCAAAATTTTTGCATATTTGAAATGGCATGGTCAAGGGCTTTTCAAAAATGTATAATTTTTCATTTTTTGGACAAATTTGGTTTGCAAACATTTTTACTATATAACTGGATTTTGCGATAAAAAATTCAATTTTCGCAAATTTGCAAATTTTTTTGCAGATTCTAAAAGTAGAGCACAAGAGCTTTCCAATGATGTATCTTTGTCATTCTTGGACATCAAACATGGGATTTAGAGGGGGGGGGTTAAACATCAAGCATATCCTGGTTTTCAAGTACCCCAGCAGAGATATGGTTAATTTACATTGATATTTTCGTCTATTTAATCCAGCATCGCCCCTTATTTCTCTCTAAACTTGACAATTGAGTGACGATTTTAAGATTATCTTTGTTTTAACCTCAAATCAGAAAAGGTTGAGCTACTTAAAGTTTTTAATTGGACGATCCTAAAGTTGGCATAAAATGGCCATGACTCATGTTTAGTAAACGGCGATATGTATTTTCCCATAGGCACGTTCCCATGGGCGACATCCCAATGGGAAATTTCCTTATTGTGCAAATTCCCTAATAGAAACTTCCCAAACGTTAGGTTAGTGCAAGTGAGGCCGAGCGCTGCAGATAAACATACTTGGGAAATTGCACAGTTGGGAAGTTGCCTTTGTGAATATATTTAACATCTAGTAGACAAACACTGTAATATAATTTTAATGTTTAAATATTTTTTAGGACACTGTGCAGTTTTGGCAGACCTTGATACCTGCTGATCTTGAAACAAGAAGAGTACAGGTTGGTTCAAAATGGCCAACTATCCATGATTAGTTCAGCATAGACCTAATAAGGCCATTTAGCCTAATTTCATATGAATGATTCTGAAGAACAATAATAATATAAACTACAGTACAGAACAACTAAGTACAGTACAGTACAGTACAATACAGTAGAGTACAATACAGTACAGTACAGTACAGTACAGTAAAGTACAGTACAGTGCAGTACAGTACTGTACAGTACTGAACAGGGCAGTACTGTACATTACTGTTCACTACAGTACTGTACAGAAGAGTAGAGTAGAGTACAGGACAGTACAATACAATACGTTTTATGCCAGATGTTTCAAAAGTTCAAAGTTCTTTTAAGAAAATTTCTGATTTTGAATTAGTAGTTATAATGTTTTTAGGGTTACAAATTTTGCTATGAAAAAAGAAGATTTGTATGCCGGCCATTTTGCAACAAACTACTGGAGTGGATTAAGTACCGGTAACGAAATGTGTCAATGGACAAATCTCTAAATCATCACAATTAAACAATTATATTTTTATTTTCAAAAAGTTATGATTTTAGAAAAGAATGCTTTAAATTCGTTTTTCTGATGAAATAGTTTATCTATATTTTTCTGCAAATGAGATAGTATTTTATATACAGGACTACCCATAAAAAAGAGGACTCTAAATTCAACCTTTTCAGGACAAAATTAAAAACTTTCTGACAAATGGAAGATAAAGGGTAACAAAGTAAAAGGTAGAAAAAAGATACAGTGATAATCAGAAAACTATGGAATATGAAGACAATATTAAAGCATATACTTGGTGTATTTTTGCAAAATTATTGTGTATCATGCTTGTTGGACTAATTTAATTGATAAATCGAATCTAAACATTGTCTTTATATCCCATAGTTTACTGGTTTCCACTGCTGTTAGATCAGGTTTACTTAATCATTATTCTTTACTAATATTGCAGGTTGAAAGGACAAAATATATTGAGCTGCTTGTAGAAGATTTTACATTCACCAATATTTTTCATTTTCAATGTTTAAACAAAAGATAGTTCTATTTTAAATCTAAATTTGTTTTGTTTTCTGTTTGCCTTTTGAGGTGATTTATTTTACCTAATTTTTGGGTCAACGAAATTTGTTCAATGGTTTACAGAACTACAGTCGTCCCCGTATATCTCAATACAATGAAGACGACTTTCGGTTTCGATTTCTAGTAAGCTTTCAAGCAGCATGAATACACAGAAAAATGGAAACAAAAAACAGCTGTCAAAGAACAGCTTCTTTTTGTTTACTTGTAACCTTTTATTTGAAAAAAAAACTTGTGGAAATTGAAACTTATTAGAACAAAAGTCTTTATTGTTATCGCCGTTTACTTTAACGGCCCTTGTAAATAGTAATTGTAAATAAGTCTTGCTAATATCTTTTTTATTTTGAGTATTTTATTTGACTATTAGAATAAACATTGTATTAGAAAATACAAACACATACTCATTATATTATATTATAAATATGCATATTTTTTATATATAGTGGAACATGAGTGGAACCCATTAATCTGTGGAATAGGACTACAAATTTTAGACTAAAGTTAAGATCTTGATAAAAAATTCTAATGGATTTTAATATATTTAGTATAACAACATGAAAATAAATATCGTCTTTTTATTACATGTTTTTGGGTTCATTTGTACATATATTTTATATATAATACATTTTATTATGTTAAACATGTTAATAATCTTCTTAATATATTTTTCTGAAATATTTATATTAATTAAAACATGTATTTAATATGCCTCCGCTGGGTGATTAACCTTGCTAAATGTTTTAATGATTTTTAATGACTCACGAAAGCATTAGATATTTTGTACATACTTGAAGTGTCAACTTTTACCTAAATATTAAAAAGATGAAGGTCAATAAATATCGATAAATATGTTTATCGTCCAAGAATGTCAATATATTTATTTTGTAAATAATTTCAATTTTCTAAATATTTATAAATTGTAATTCTAGATCTATCGTGAGAATTTGTTTATCATTCAATAAAATCTAATCTACTTTAGATATGTTCGTTTTTCTTTATTCAAAATAAAATATCTTTTTTATACAAAACAGTTTGAAAAAGTTTATTAAACATTACACTGATCCGCCACAATAGAGATTCAGACTTTAAATACAGCAGGTCCCACGAAACATGACAGTTGGTGAACAGTTTTAAATGTAAAAGGAAATGATATAAATTACGTTTGAAATATCCAAGGTTTACACGCACCATCAGGTTGAAAAGATTTAGGAGTTAGAAATTTAAGTTTGTGTCAAATATTCAGTTCCTTTCAAATAAATAGTTCAACAGAAAGCATGAAATAGCAAACACGAAAAATCAACTTATAATGGATGAAAATTTGTTTTATATTAATGTTCATTGATTTTTAACCAATTAATCATTGTTTAGATAGATTCTTATATTTCTAAATTATAAACAAATTAAATAATTCTATTTTTTACTTTAATTTAAATATGATTTAATACGTTTGACAATAATAATATCAATTATTGACAAATATTGTACAGGGTAGTTAATAGATTTTTACTTTAGGACCAAAATTGGGCAAGGGAATCCGTAAAATTTTTAATTTCCCAAAAAAAGTAGTGAAGCACACAAAGTTCGTCTTTAAAGATGAAAATTCGCAAATTTTTTCATTAAAACTTAAAAGACCTTTTATTCCCCAACAGAGGGAGGTTAGGTTACTTAACCCTTTTAAGGCTGGGGGGTCTGAATCTATGTATAGCCTGGGAGGGGGGCGTTTGGCGCCCAGCGCTAGTAAAAGGCCTTTTATATTAGGCATATAGGATTGAAATGCATGTTCATAGCTCAAAAAAGGAAGAAAAAAAAATTTGTTTTAAACAAATATCAAAGCGTGACACATGTTTAATTCTACATGCATTTTTTTCAAGGGTTTTTCAAAATATAGTTTTTAGATCTGTAGCTTTGGTCACAAAAAAGTTATGGGCTATTTTAGAGTTTTTTTCACAGACCGGTTCTTTTTCCGCCCTGTACCCTACCCTATAAATTTAAAAAATTTATTTTTTTAACAAAAAATTCTTTAAATTGCTATTCATTCACAAGTCACAAAATTTCACGGTGATAGTATTAAAATTGAGAGTGATAGGACAAAATACTGCAGGGGGGGGGCGCCAAACGCCCCACCCCCAGCCTGTTTAGGGTTAATGTCCAAATGGGGACGATTAAACAAAATTTTCTTAACTGTCAACTAAGATGGAATCTAAGATGTCGTCTTAGTTTTCACAAAACCAAAAAGAAGCCTGTGTTGACATTGAAGCCTATGAGATTGTGCCCATAGGTTGACATTGATAGTTTGGAGCTTGTGTCCGTGTTGACATTAAAGCCTATGAAATCATGCCCATTGTTTCAATCTGGGTGCGTTTGATCTCTGCCCCCCATGGAACTAAAATGGTCTCTGCCACGGTTCCTAAGAAGTTGCTCCAGATGGCTTGTATTGAGGATTGTTACACCTCTGCAAAGGGTTCTACATACAAAAAAATATACAGTTGAAAAATTTTGTTTTAAAGTTAAATAATGCTTAATTCAATCGCGTTGACTAGAAAAAGTGTCTCAAATACCCCCCTCCCTCCTCCCCCCATCCCTTCCATAGCTTAAATCCCCCCCCCCCTAATGATTTAACCATTAATCGAATACAAATTAATTGATATTATTAAATGTTCAAACTTCAAGGCCACCAATTTAACTGGGCACATATCATGCCACCACATGCAGAAACTACTGATTCGAAGGAAATACTGACACACAAGGTGTCTCATTAAAGGGACTGTAGATAAAATTCAATTGACCCTCTTTTGATAGAGTGGCATGTTTGAATCACAACAATAACCGTAGAGTAGGCATGCTCCGTATTTCTCGGCATTCGGCAATCACTTTTTTATTAAAAAATAATGACAACTTTTTGTTGCTATAAATAAGACCAAGTTCAGTTGGTGAATATAATGAGATGGTCACTTAACATTACACCTTTTCAAGGAACTGAAAGCTCAAGTTTCATTTATTTGGACATATTAAAATAGCCAATGTTTCCAATATTTCTTAAGTTATCAAACTGTTAACACATTGCCGTATTGAGATATGAAAGAGATGTCATGTCAAGTTGTAAATAGAATCAATGAAATAAATTATTCTCTGAAAAATTTATTTTAAAATCATATCTGCAAGACTACACTATATATATCTATGAATTGTAAAATATTTTTATTTAAATTTTACCTTAAACATTAATTAGAGTTAGAATTAATATTAGCAATTGCAAAAGAAATAATGTTCTTGTGCATGTTATCTCTGTTCTTTTATAAAGCTGTACTTGCTGTGTCCGAATTCAGTTGTTCAGAAAAAAATGCATCGTAGAATTGTAGAAATATCTTTCCTTTGCCTTCTATTTATTTTGTTATCTAACTGTTCAATCATTCAATTAATTTGTTCCTTCCGTAAATTCGTTTATTCAATAAAATTGTAAAATTGTTTGTTCAGTAATAAAACGATCGTTTATTAAAAAAACGTGTGCTCGATAAAAATGATAATTATCTTAAGTTCATTTAAAAAAATGTGTCTATTCACGAAAACATTTCCTATCTTGATGGAAGTTTGACCACAATAAACAGTTTTAGCCACAAACTCAAATGTTCTAATATATCCTTTTATCTTCGAATGCCAATATCGTAGACATTTGATTTTTTAAACTTTGAATTCTATTGGAATAAATAATTTAAGATTAAAATATTAAAAGTGTAAACCATTAGGGTGCAAAGATGGGAACAAGGTACTAATGCAAGGAAAGTTAATTGCGGTCGTGTATACTCTGCGTACGTGTTGAAACCAGTTCTCTTTGGGCGGAATTTGTAAACAAGAATGGGTGCTTCAGTGTTCGTCTAGTATCCAAGGAGGTTAAATGAATTAATTTTGATAATTTTGAAAATTTACCTAATAGTTTCCTATGACCAGAATATTTCATAGATTATTTTTGTTAAAATGGATTCCATGTCAGGCTCTGACATCCGTCTTGTTTTTAACTTTTCCGCCCAAAGACAGTACACTGCCTTACAAAAAATGCGTATACCTCTGAAATAACATTCCTTGCATATTAGTACCTTGATGGAAATATTAATTTTGTGGTAAATATCCATTTTATTTTAGGTGAAATATATTAATTTAAAAAGTTGACATGGTTCCCTTAGTTAACATATCTGCTTTTATGTATCCCTCTGCCATGTCCTCATAGTAGAGATGAGCAATTTTTATATTCATTCGTTCATCGTTCATTAACGAGTAACGACCCCTTTTTTTAGTCAATCAGACAAATTTGAATCTGTTCTTTTTTAGAATTATTGACCATTTTTTAATCGAATTTATTCATTCGTTCGTTTTCTGACTGAACAATCTATCAGTTTAATTATTCGTTAAATAATTTTTTTTTCCAGTAAAATTGTTTTCTCAATTAAATCAGTGGGGTTCATCGAAGAAAGTTTTTCAAAAAATCATTCTTATAATTAAAAAACTATTCTTTTTCAAAAGTTACTTTGAAAAAAGTCTATTGTTCAGTATAACATTAGGTCATTTGAATGTATCGTACATTTAGCAAAAAACTACATTTTTTTAAGCTCTTTGCAGATTTTTAAAACTTTTTTTCTGAAAGATAAAACAATTGTGTTTCATTAATATAATAAACCTCGTTTATTTTGAAAAACATTGTTTGTTGCCACATCTCTGCCTATTGGTAAGCTTTTGTTAAAATTCCCCCATTATTTTGTGGAGGGTAGAGGCTAGACCGGTATTAAAGACGTAGTTTAGGGACTCATTTCTAGCTTCAGGTTAATACTGTTTGCTTAGGGTGTTTTCAACTGAGTACTTATCGACTTTTATATTTTCTTGGAACTTACCAGTTTAAATATTTACCAACGGCTGTTCTTCGTACAGCGTCTTTCATAACATAAGTAATGCTTAATGTTTTCTTACTTTAATTTAGACAAAAAAAATATCCCACTTTAACCTTTGTTCAAAAATAAAGAATATTTGTTTTAAATTTAAAGTCAAGGTTAAGTTGTATTAAACTGCCTGGAAATTTAATGAAAATATTGGTAAACAAACAAAGTCATTTTTGATTTGGTTTAATTTGCCTCGTGTAGGTGCGGGGAGAAAGCAGTTGAAAAATGGGGTTCCTGGCGGAGGGAACTTTTTTCCTTCTATTGTGTGCGCTGAGTTCAGGACTCGCAAAGAATGATACGTTTATCATGGGGTTATTGGTAACCTTTGTCATAGCTTACTTTTGAATCTAGAATAAGTAGGACAGAGATTCTAGGTGTCCTAGTAGACATGATAATTCATTGACAAGTTTGATATTGTATTTTTTGATTTAGTGTTGTGATGCCTACTATAGACAGTTGGAATCTGTAGAGGTTTCTTGTGACAGAGTTTAGATTTGTTTATGTTTTGATTGCAACTGTTGTACAAGTTGTTACAGAACATCATACTGTGTTTTACAGAAAAAACAAAGCAGTTTTAATTACAGTTTAAATAAATATACCCTAGCAAATGGAAATTTATTGAAATTATGTAATACAGCACTTATTCTTAACAAGGACAATTTCTAATTCGTAATTTAATGCCTGTGTTTATTGGGACACCCTTTAGCAGAACTAGCTATGTCTAGTTCAACTTAAACGGCTATATATCAATCAATTTACAGTCTTATTGTTATCTAAGATTATGAAAAACATATTAACAATATTCAGGATGGAAGGGGAGAATTGAAAACTCCAGTTCTTAAGCATGAGATTAGAGAATACACCTTATGTTTCCGGTTCAAACAACCCTTTACAATGAATACCATTCTCTTGAGCTTAAAAGGTAAATTTATCTGTAAAATAAAAAATGTCCATCCTGACTCACAGTGCACAGTGGTTTTAATCTAAATACTTAATCTCAATATATTGAGATTGATATTTTTAACATTGAGTCTTGAGTTACTATATCTTTGCAACCTAACGTTAAATATTTCAAACTGGGAAAGCTGGTTGAAATATTAAAGGTTTGCGCCATTAGGTTTTAAAAATATTGGGATGGGAAAATTAGACTGAAGTACTTTTCCTAGCATCAACATATATAAATATTCCAAACGCAGAGTTTGAACACAATTTGCCTATGCAGTTAATTTGTGAAATATTATAAAATGTATTGGAAATCCATTATTTCTTTTTGTTTAGATCCAGAACAGGAAGAGTTTCTCCAAGTGTATACTAGTGTAAATAACTACTCTAGTTTGTTTATTAAAGGCCAGGTCAGTTACAGCATTCTAATTTATGGACTTTCACCCTAGGGTCACTTCTTCAGCAATTTTAATTTTTAAGCCATAAAACAATGACAAACTAAAAATTTAAAGTATTTCTAATTACATAGATTTTAAATAAATTTTATTTACAATTCTAATTTATTTAAATTCTGACCATGAAACCCTTTCCAGAGTGATGCTGGGCCCCTGCAAAAAATGTGGGCCAAGTTGGTTAAGCCATGTTTAGTGTTTACATTATTTGGACACAAACAAATAGACAAAAAAAAACAAGCCAAGTATATATAAATATATTTATAGAAGCTTTGTTTAGGAAATCTTGATCAACCCCGACTGGACACCAATGAAATGGCATCACATCTGTATCTCCTGCAGCTTGGCTCTCAAGCGCTGTACGTTTAAATCTGATCAGTATACAAAGAAAATAAACTCATCAGCAATCTTTACAGGGACTGAACTTAATGAATTTATACTTCCTGTTACTGGTTCAAATTTGAACCATCGATTCAACTCCTTCCTTAATCTTTAACTTTAAGTTGGAGGTTCAAAATTGAACCTGCAGCAGTTGATAGTTTAGCAACATAGCTCAAATTCATTCAATTCGGCTTCAGAGGACATTGAATTGATGGATCTTTCATTAGCCATCTTGGAAGATGCTAAAGGAGAAATTACTGATATAAACATGTGGGATTTGAAATTGGATGGTATTTACTGTAGCGTATAATCACACTATTCATCATCATCTGTCCTAATTTTTCTGACTGTTCACCATCATCAGTCCTAATTTTTATGACCGTTCATCATCACCTGTCCTAATTTTTCTGACTGTTCATCATCATCCGTTCTAATTTTTCTGACTGTTCATCATCATCTGTTCTAATTTTTCTGATTGTTCACCATCATCTGTTCTAATTTTTCTGACTGTTCATCATCACCTGTCCTAATTTTTCTGACTGTTCATCATCATCTGTTCTAATTTTTCTGACTGTTCATCATCATCTGTTCTAATTTTTCTGACTGTTCACCATCATCTGTTCTAATTTTTCTGACTGTTCATCATCATCTGTTCTAATTTTTCTGACTGTTCACCATCATCTGTTCTAATTTTTCTGACTGTTCACCATCATCTGTCCTAATTTTTCTGACTATTCATCATCACCTGTTCTAATTTTTCTGTCTTGTTTTTAGCATGTTGTGGAAAATTACTTTATCAAATGCCTAAGATAATTTTCCTTGTACAAACATAATTTTTTTGATATATTCTACTTACACAAAAACAAATGATGATTTATTAGCTTTGCATTTGCACTGCTTACAAATGTATGTATATAATTTATTTGCAAAGCTGTCACAATTAATTGGACACTAACATAATGTGACTTTATTAAAATTTGTAAAAGTTAACAATTTAAAATTTTCAAATCCCTCGGTGACAACAACTGAATTTCTTTCTGTTAAAATGTCTGTTCCTTATAGTAAAAAATCAATAAGAACTGCTCCTTATTCCCAAAATTTATGATGAACTATAGTTATTGATTTTAAAATTATTTTCCCTAGATGCAGTCTTAGATAAGTGGATTGGCTGTGTAAATATGTCTACTGGAAACTTGGTAAATTGGGAGGAATCTGACTGGGACACAGATGGCAATAAAACAGTTTTGAGAAGGACACATATCTGCCATGTGCCAAGCCCTGGCATACGGCAAATGAATTTCAATCTTAACTATCCTGAATCTAAGACATTCTGTCAATCACTTAGTTCAACATTTGTAACTTTCGAAGCTCAAGAAGACATCAACCTGGCAATTGGAATTTTAGCACATTCCAAAAATGACAAGGAAACTTTCTGGACAGGGTTTCAATTTGATGCTACAGAAAAAGTGTATGTGTTGGACAATAGATCAAAGTTCAGCAAAGATGATATGTGGGCTAAAGGAGAACCAAATGGGGAGGGAATTCAATCTTGTGTTGCTATGACTATCAAAGGGAAAACAGCAACATTTTCAGACGAATACTGCAATAACAAATATAGTTTTTTCTGCTATTTTGATTCTGAAACAATAGTTCATGTCCAATCAGATCTAAAGATCTATAATGTTGACATGTATTATGCTTTTAATATTCCAAGTTCATTTAATGGCTATAGATATGGAAAAATTATCAAAGAAAATGAGATTTGGATTATAAAAACAAATGAAGGAGAAATTGTTGCCAAAACAGGAAAACTCAATGGTTTACCTATTGGAAATCAATCATGGGAATTTCCTGGTAAGCCACCACAGCAGCACTTCCTGATTCTACACACTTGTAATAGTTCTTCATTTCCATGTAAAAATGGAATCTGTTTGGACAAATCAAAGCGGTGTGACTCAACATTTGATTGCTATGACAAAGAGAGTGCTGAGGATTATTCGGATGAAGAGAATTGTAAAGCTGTAACAGCTGCTGTGGGCTATAACAAGCTCAACATACCTCAGGGAAAAGATGGTCTGATGGTCACAGTGGGATTTAAACTTTTGGACTTTCTTGCCTTAGATATTAACCATGGAACATTCCAACTAAAGTTTCAACTTCAAACGAAATGGAGAGATGCTGATTTAACATTTAAGAATGTCAAGAAAGGAATTGTGAATGTTTTAGATCTTGAGGATTGGAAATCTATGTGGGTACCAAATCTACTGTTTTTAAACACAGAGAGTATTCTTAGCTCAGAAGAGCTTGGTAGTGACTTATACAGCTTTGTTTACCTCGACAATATTCATGAAACAGAAAAAGATATCCAGGCATCTGTTACTAACTTTTTTGTAATGGGGAAGGATGTAGATATTGTCAAAAACTCATCATATAGTCTAATGTTCTTTTGTGAGTTTGACCCAATTCATTATCCCTTTGATGTTCAAGTTTGCAATATCAATTTGACATTGTATGTAGCAGATTATAAAAAAGTTCAGCTGCAGGCAGGCCTTGTAGAGGCCGAGACAATTATGTATGAAGACTTTAATGTATCAAACTGGAAAATAATGAAAGATAACTCACCAGCACTTAAGGGTGTTAAGCTAAGCATCAGTTTCATGTTGAAAAGGAATTTGTCTCAATCTCTTATGAGCACCTTTATGCCGAACATAATACTGATGGTGGTCTCTATTTTAACAAACTACTTTCTTGGAAAAGATTTGTTTGAAGCAGTTATTAGTATCAATGCAACTGTTTTAATGACAGTCGCATCATTGTTTGCGGACAATAGTGGGTTCCTGCCTGCCACTGTAACAATAAAGTAAGAATAAAAGTAAATTTAGAAATTAATAAATGTAGACTAAAAAACAGGATTTTTAACTTATCGCACATTATAGTTTATTAAGATATATTTTTGCCTGTATTTCGTTCCAACCAGGTGCTTCCTGAGCGAGTTTTCTTAGTCTTCAAGGATTATATTTCAAGTTTCCCTTTTTTAATCCCTTAACAAACCGTCCCCTCTGAAATAAAGCTAATCTATGTATTTGTGGACATATTCTAATTTTCTGTTACACAGAATGATGGATGTCTGGAGCCTGGTGATGTTTATTGTGCCCTTGCTAATAATCCTGACCCACACGTTTGTTCATGTTATTGACCAAAAACATCTTGTCAAGGAAGAAAAGTATGCCTTTATCAGAACAGGCCTCATGCTGTTCGGTCAGATAGTGATACCAACACTGGTTTTTATCTTTATAGCAGGGTTCTTCGTAGCAGGAGAGCTGCACATGTCTAAATTCTAATGCAAATCATTCTTAGCATTAGGACCTTCACTTAAGTAAGGCAACAGATTTCCTTATCTATTGTTTTTTTTTGTAAGAATCTAAGTGTGACACATGAACTTAAAAGACTAGTCTACTGTCAATACAATTGTCCTTTGGGTTCATTATCTTTAGAACGGTTTTAACCCTATTAAGCCCATGTGAGGTGAGGTCAATTTAACCCCCCCCATCGCTCTTTTTGTGAAAACTCAAAAAATATTTTAGCTTGGAAGCTCAAATTTTCTGGCTCTTCTAACTAACTGCACATTCCCCTCACTTAATTTAAAATCTGGTCTTTAATACCAATTGCCTGAGTCCTCAGGCATACTGCCTAAATGCCTTATTTTACCTACACCAGACTAAATCTATATTTAGACCTACTTCCAGTCATTGGAGTTCAATATTTTATAGCCCTTTGGACTTATAACAAAAGCAAGGAGATTGCACATTGTTTGCTTTATTACTAGATTTTGCAATACATATTTGGATTTTTGCAAATTTGCCATTTGTTTTCATATTATTGACGTAGAGCTCAAGGGATTTCCAAAAAAGTATTAAATGTTATAGATTTAAATGATGTATCACAATAAGAACATAGAGCCCTAGGAAACCAGTCAGTAACCAGACGTCAGGCTAAATAGGGTTAAATGTGTTTATTATTAAGGGTTGTAGGAATTGAGTCTTTGCCAAAACTCAAATTTTCTAATCTCTAAAACTGGTGGTCTAAACCTTTGAGATTTAGAATATTAGAAGGTCCTTAATATTGGATTGCAATGATTTCTGTATAAAAAAATCAGAGTTTGAGACTCAATTCCTCTACTAATACACAGTAAAATTTCAAGAATTTCATCCTCACTTTCAATTTGATGTAAGGGCTTCTTAGATACTTATCACTGCCTTCTGAGGCCATAGTGTTAAAAGCAATGTTATTGTTGATTAAGAATATCGGTGAATTGCTTTGAGGATTTTTCACAGCAAAGAAATCTTAGTCAAAGGAGTTTGAGAGTGTTTTAACATTTAGTATGTAGAATGTGGATTCCTTTATTGCACTTTTATCATCATATATATCTTATCTTTGTCATTTTTTAAATATATGGACGGTATAAAATACATGTTTTTAAATATCTAGACGGTATGAAATACATGTTAATATCTAGACGGTATGAAATAAATGTTAATATCTAGACGGTATAAAATACATGTTAATATCTAGACGGTATAAAATATATGTTTGTGCAAACTTTATATGCAAGTGCTTTACTAGAACCTATAAGAATTCATTTAAAGCTTTAATAATATGAAAACAAAGGAATTGAGTTTTTGCCACAAACTTAAATCTTCTGATCCCAATATCTTTGCAACCTGATGGTGTAAGCCTTTGATATTTCAAACTTAAATTATAATTATTAATAGTTTGAAATATCTAAGGTCTACGACATTGGGTTACAAAGATATAGAGATTAGAAAATCAGAGTTTGTGGCAAAAACTTAACTCCTTTGTGCTAAATAAGGCTGGGTCAATTTTCCTTTTACACATCTCAGTTTTTTAAAACTTACGAAAAATATTGATGACAAGTTAATTTTCATATTACTGATTAGCAAAATCTAACTCTTTTTTCACTTAAAAACAACAAATATCCGAAGAAATGGAAAAGAAATAAAGTGTATTTCTGTGTATAAGGTAGGTGCGAGGTACAAGGGGATGGCTTATTTTATTTTTAACTCAAAAAGTAAATTTTCTCCGGAACATTTCTAAAAAAAGTAAAACTATTTTCATACAAGAAACTTCAAAATGGTATAGTCAGACCCTCCAATTCTTACTTTCTAATCCCTTTATCTTTGCATCCTGATATTTTGACCTAATTTTATATTTTAAGCAATGAAATCTACTTTTTGAAAACTCACAAGGTTTCAATTATCAAAAGGTGTCAGGTTATAAAGATATAGGGATGTAAAATTAGAATTTGAGATTTAAGTTGCTTTGTGAAGAGTTTCTATATGTTTCGATATTTTTATGGATATGCGTATTTAAATATATTTCTACGCATTTAAATTCGAGTGAGATCTTTTTTTCTAACTTTTTTTACTTTTATCTTACGTTGAGAGTTCCTTTAAAGTATCTATCTATCAATCACTGTACTACTTCGGGCAAAATGGGATTGATGAGTTGGGTTTCTATTGGGAAATCTAGGAGCCAGGGGGGGGGGGTCTAGGAGCTAGAGCGGGAGGGAAAATAATATATTATTCATCACGGGTTAGCCTAATCTCAATAGGGGGTTACGATTCCCGAAAATATTCTTTAAAATTAAAAACACAATGTATACAAAACACAATTTTGGACATTTTATCAAACATCCAAATCGAATTATAATTTATCGATATACCTATTTAAGAATTGGAAAAGCCTAGTGGAGATACCAAGGCAGAATTAGTAGCTATTATGCAAGCCTATACCACTGATCTCAGTTTTTCAATTCAACTGGGTCTGCTTCGCTTTCATTTAATATTTTGATCAGAATAGAATCGGAAAACGAAAATTCTAAAATTCAAATTTTATGATGTATAACGAAAAAAACACCCCTGTTTTTTCAAAAGACTCTGCAGTAGAATCACGATATATCTTGTATCAATTTGTGTGCTAGGCGAGAGCTATAGAGGTCAAGATTGACATAGCATTTTATTTACCTAATATATGCTGGTCTAGTCGACACATGTATATATAAAGGAACTGTTTAACGTAGTATCATGTGAACATTCATTAAAAGTGTTTTATTCTCGATTCAGAAGGATATACCTTAAACCTTAGTTTGAGAAGAAAAGGTTAAGATATCCTTGTTCTTTTGCTTTATTTGAAGATTTTGCAATTTGTGGTCTCTTTAGAAGAAACGACTTGGGCAACATATTCATCAATCAACTTTTCTACTTCTGTATATTCTCAAAATAGATCTTCTACATTATACAAGACGAGTAGACTTTTCTACTTCTGTTTATTCTCAAAATAGATCTTCTACATTATACAAGACAAGTAGACTTTTCTACTTTTGTATATTCTCAAAATAGATCTTCTACATTATACAAGTCGAGTAGACTTTTCTATTTCTGTTTATTCTCAAAATAGATCTTCTACATTATACAAGTCGAGTAAACTTTTCTACTTCTGTTTATTCTCAAATAGATCTTCTACATTATACAAGACAAGTAGACTTTTCTATTTCTGTATATTCTGAAAATAGATCTTCTACATTATACAAGACGAGTAGACTTTTCTCTGTATATTCTCAAAATAGATCTTCTACAATATACAAGACCAGTAGACTTTTCTACTTCTGTATATTCTCAAAATAGATCTTCTACATTATACAAGACGAGTAGACTTTTCTACTTCTGTATATTCTCAAATAGATCTTCTACATTATACAAGACAAGTAGACTTTTCTACTTCTGTATATTTTCAAAAGAGATCTTCTACATTATACAACACGAGTAGACTTTTCTACTTCTGTATATTCTCAAAATAGATCTTCTACACTATACAAGACGAGTAGACTTTTCTACTTCTGTATATTCTCAAAATATATCTTCTACACTATACAAGACGAGTAGACTTTTCTACTTCTGTTTATTCTCAAAATATATCTTCTACACTATACAAGACAAGTAGACTTTTCTACTTCTGTATATTCTCAAAATAGATCTTCTACATTATACAAGACGAGTAGACTTTTCTACTTCTGTATATTCTCAAAATAGATCTTCTACATTATGCAAGACGAGTAGACTTTTCTACTTCTGTCAACTATCTATATAAAAGGAAATCACCTTTCCTTCTGCTGTAGATCATCTACAAGGTTACTCACAAAGGGTGAGCCTTCAGAGACGATTCTGCGAATCTTTTTTGTTCCGTTTTTCTTGCATTCAGGGTTCCTTGTAGGCCAAAACAGGTTTATTTATGTGCTTAATCGCTTAGTAAACCATTAACTATACTCAATTGAATACAGAAAACAAAATAAAGCCTAAAGTCGTCATATTTTTAGAATTTTGGGTCGTCTTTACAGTCTCATCCCTTGTGGGTAACCCTGTAATAAATGCAGTTTGAACATACCTATATAAACTACGTTGTACATTGTCTGAGGATCTAACTGCATTAATGCTTAAATCCATAAAACGTTTAATGCGACTAGACTAGCTCCGTATTGTGATTAGATTATATACCTGCGTAATATTGTGAATACGTATTGGAACTTAACATGTAACATATAGATATTTGTAAATAAGATCAGTTAGAATCAGAACTCCACTTTGATTACAGTGTAGAGTAATTTTACCCCTGTTAAAATATTTAGGTTGAGATCATACCTAGTTATAGGGAGAGATCGATTAAAGGCTTGATAGATAGCAAATGCTTCTGTCCCATTGTCGCATTTAGAGCCTGAGAAATAGCTTGTTTGATAGCTACGCTTGTGTCCCTGTGTGGCATTTAGAGCCTGAGTAATAGCTTGTTTGATAGCTACATTTGTGTCCCTGTGTGTCATTTAGAGTCCTAGTAATAGCTTGTTTGATAGCTACACTTGTGTCCGTGTGTGGCATTGAGAGCCTGAGTAATAGCTTGTTTCATAGCTACGCTTGTGTGCCTTTGTGGAATTTAAAGCCTCAGTAATAGCTTGTTGGCTAGCTACTGAGATCGCAGCCAGTGGTAGTGGCGTAGTTATCATAGTTAACGAGATTATAATCTGGTGGATTGTGTCCTGGTTGACTTTGGCAGCGGACGGGTTGTGCCTGGACTGATACAGGTTGGTACGAAGTTATAAGAGCACGGCATTTTTTAATATCAAAATAGATTTTTCTATTTTATCCTATTTATTAGTAAAGTGTTTGGAACGAAAAATAATTCTGTTACATAGTAAATTGATTGATTGCTAATATTTTTCGGATTAAATATAATAAAAACATGAAACTAGTATTTAAGTTTTTAATTTTATCAATTATTTTTTTTGGTTTAAAAAAGTTCAATTTATCTGTTACGAAAATTGTCGTTAAAAATGTAGGGTTTATGTTGTACTTTGTATATTCCTATCATTATCTGTCAACTAAATTTGTATCAAAGATGCAGTAAGTCAATTTCAAGTTAGTAATGCCTGATTTACAACGGTACCCATGGAATCCTTAATATGATAAAAATGTAGAAGATAACGTTGTTTTTTTTCTGGGACATTCTTCATGGTTTTTTATAGAGAAAACCCGCAAATGAAAATAAACATGCAAAGCTAATTCATAATTGTTCAGATAAAACTTTCAAGGGAACCAATTTAAACAGGGCATTGCTAGCTATCTTTGCATGGAGGATCACTTGAAATTACCCTTCCACTCACTTTTATAAAGGTTTTATCAAATCTGTTAAAGGTTCAAACCTCTTAATATCAGTTTATTCACGCAACCTAGCTCGGTCATTTTTTCAGTAATTCACGCAACCCCGCTCGGTCATTTTTTCAGTAATTCACGCAACCTCGCTCGGTCATTTTTTCAGTAATTCACGCAACCTCGCTCGGTCATTTTTTCAGTAATTCACGCAACCTCGCTCGGTCATTTTTTCAGTAATTCAGGGAACCTAGCTCGGTCATTTTTTCAGTAATTCACGCAACCTAGCTCGGTCATTTTTTCAGTAATTCACGGAACCTCGGTTATTCGGTAAAACATTAATTCGCTAAACCTCTAAATTTCATTTAAAAGAAATGAATCGCCATGTACAAAATAACCTTCGTTTTGGATTAGGTTTTTCCCTATAAAGGGACAGTGAGCGTAATTTCAAGTGGACCACCCTGTAAAGAGGAAAATGCACATTGGTATCCTTGAGACCTTTAAAAATGCACATTGGTACCCTTGAGACCTTTATCTGATCAAAAATTAACATTGGTATCCTTGAGACCTTTATCTGATCAAAAATGCACATTGGGACCCTTGAGACCTTTATCTGATCAAAAATGGACATTGGTACCCTTGAGACCTTTATCTGATCAAAAATGGACATTGGTACCCTTGAGACCTTTATCTGATCAAAAATGGACATTGGTACCCTTGAGACCTTTATCTGATCAAAAATGGACATTGGTATCCTTGAGACCTTTATCTGATCAAAAATGCACATTGGTATCCTTCAGACCTTTATCTGATCAAAAATGTGGAAGATATTCAGTTTAAGATTCTTCAATTCTGATTAATCC